ACCATTTTTCAGGGTGGACAGTAAACCCAAGAGAATCAAATAATCTGACAGTATCCCAAACATTTCTTTCACAGTCATCATAGTCATCACCCTGGAGATACGAGTCATCGATATGACTTGCTGAAAGGTGTCCCAGCTGTCTCAAATGTGAATATACTGGTTTTAATAATTTAGTAAACTTCCTGGGGCAAAATGCCAATCCATTTGGAAAGCAAACATATTTATACAGTTTTCCACGCCACTGAAACTTCAGGTATTTTTGGTCTGCAGTGGCAATAGGCACAGAATAATATGCATCCTTTAAATCTATGGATGCCATAAAGCACCCAGGTTTTACCATTTGTAAAACAGTATTAAGCGAGTCCATTTTAAAATGGTGATATTGTACATGAGTGTTTAAACACTTGAGATTTAAAATTACTCCGAAAGAACCATCCTTTTTGGCCCTAGTGAAGATAGGAGGGATATATCTCTTTTTTTGTGACCACTTGGGGTAATAACACCCTTAGCAAGGAGTTCAGCCAGTTCAGTATCAATGACATGTTGTTTGTCCAAATCAAGGATTTTCTTCTCATTGGGGACTACTCTTTGATATGGAGTCCTGGTAAATTTGATTGGCTGGCCTAGTATCATTTGCAATATCTCAGGGTCTGAGGTTAAGGCCTGCCACTGTTAATAATATTCTCCCAGCCCCCCTGCTTTAAAGCAGTGCACCTTGTGTTCAAGGAACTGTAACATGTTGAGATATCAGAGCATTTCACTGGCTGGATTTCTTCTCGGTTTCCAGTGATTTGTAGGAATTGTGGTTGTGTGGCTGGTAAGACCGGCCCCTCTTCCCTAAAAAAGGCTTTCCATTTGAGTGAAAAGATTTGCCCTTCCAGCCATCGCTATGGTTGCGATAATATTGCTTTGCAGTAGTCGCATGGCCAATCTTGTTAGTTGCTTTGATATTGTTAAGCTGAGATTACAGCTCATCTCCAAACGATAAACCCATGATGGGTACTTGAGAGCCACACAATGAGGAATATTCGTTGGTTTGATGGCGTTGCGTCGACGGTATGATAGGTCAATGTTTATATGGCCTAACAATGCCAGAGTGTCAGCATTATACGTGATTTATCATGTAAGGGGCAAAATTACTGAATTGTGATTGGTCGAGACAGAGGGCATTTTTTTCTTAATTTTTGTAATTGCCTTGGGCAAAATTACTTGAAAATGATTAGCTGAAAATCACTTAGCAACAGCTGCCAAGATAAAGAAATTTCTGTTTGTTCTGTAACAATGGCATCCTGTTTTGTGCGAGATCAGTAAGAAAACATTTTGCCCCTTTTATTATAAACAAGTAATCACATGGTTCCTCGTAAAATTAAGGATTAATATCACTTGTGTTTTCAGAAGTTGCAGAAATTGCCCTCATCGCTGCGCGACTCGGGAAATTTCAGCAACTTCCGAAAACACGTGTGATATTAATCCTTAATGTTACTCAGCCCCATGTGATTACCTACTAATTTCCCCAATTTCTCAGTGAGAGCTGACGCTGAAGTCTTCTCAGGATCTGCACGGATAGCCAACAGTGTGTCAGTCGATTTAGCGATTGCACTACCGACTTTGACAAGTACTTTCTGCATGTTGGCAAGGCATAAATCTGCCCTCCTGCATGCTTGCAAAAATTTCATTATGCTTGTGGTCAACTTATCCCATACAATGCAGAAAGTTGAAATTGAATGCAAAAAGTCAAAATTGAATTGGCAGAAAGTTGAAATTTAATTGATTGACAGGAATGTTGTGAAACTAAAACCAAATAAAAAGGTGATGTTTTGTACCATAATGCTTGAAAATTGGTTTGCAATCAAAACAATGTTTCATTTGTCTTAACTTTTATAATTTTCAGGGTGTTTTTGCAATAGTGGAGTTTTCTAGTGAAGAAAGTGTTACAAAAGTGCTGAGTCAATTGGAGTCATTACCACTTCTGCATAACAAACACCTTACAGTGAAAGAAAGGACTTTAACTAAAACTGGCTTTCAATTTAGAATGCAAAAACCCATAAAGCGTGGTCATGATGACTCTGAGGAACACCACCGTGGGCATTTAGGAAGCAAAGAGATGGCAAAATTTTTGTCCAAGGATCTCATTGTCAAACTGAATCCGTTGATGAAGGTATGTGGAAACAGTGGATGAGTTCTATCTCAATTTACTATTTTAATTTGGATACTATCATGTATTTTGTAACAATGACCAAGAAGGCTTGGAGGTAGGAAGAGATAAAAAAGTGCATGGTCAACTTTTTTGTAAGTGTTTGTGTTCTTCATAGGCTACTTACATAGTAAGGGAACACAACAAATACAACCAAACAGTACTTGTCCTATATGCTTTACTGAGCAATCAAGGATTTTAAAATCGCGAGAGTAATTAAAATGTAACCTCTCCTGGCATTTGTTATAATAATGTACAATACATGTACATCAGTTAGTGATATATTTAAGTTCAAACTCTCCGTTAACTACAAGATAAATAACTGTATGACAGCCAGAAGAGGGAAGTAAATGTAAAGTCTTGGAGTTTCATGACACGCTATATAACTGGCCTAACATTTACACTGTCAGGTGGATGAACAAGTGAACATTTTGATGCAGCAATTGTGTCTCAGTGATGAAGACATCAAATTAAGAAGACTGGTTTGTCAGCTGCTACAAGAAGTGTTGAGTGAAGTTTATCCAGGAGCCTCTGTGGTGCCTTTTGGTTCAACTGTTACTGGAGTTGGATGGAAGGGAAGTGACTTGGATTTGTGTTTACTGACGTCTAAAGTTGATGACACTATTGTTGATTACTCTTTAGTAATTGATACCCTGCGTAGTTTTGCTCCCGGTTGCACAAACATCATACCAGTCTTGACTGCTAAATGCCCTCTCATTAAATTCACACATCTGCCCTCTGGATTGTCATGTGACCTATCAGTAAACAACAGGTACTGTGACTGTTGCATGTCTTCCTTTGATAGCCGTGGTATTATGATCATATTATGGTTTCAAGAGATTCATTAAGCTACTGCTGCAGCATTAAAAATAAGCATTTAAGCTTTCACTAAGCCATTGTCTAATGATACTGTGGATTAGCAAAAGCTTGGATGCAACAGTAGCCTATAGCCTCTCTTAAACTTCTCTTAATTATAAACAGCTACTGGGATGCTGTCTTTAGGCCCTATAGGACATAGATGACAAATAATGATGATGATGTTAATGATGATGATAACAAGTTATGGCAAAGTATAATTGCATTGATGTCCATGATAATGGTCTTGCTTACTGTATGTAGCTAGATGATGTGTTCTAAAGCATCAGGGAATGATCGAGTTTCTTGATAGAAGAGCTACATGTATGCAAGTACCGGTATACAAAGGGTACACATATAAACAAGAATATACACAACAGGATTCTCCAATATGAACGTAGTATTTACTATTAGAAATTGGTTTTCAATTCCTATGCTTTGTATAATAAAATCTGGTGTGAAAACTTGACTTTGACTTTCTCTGTTTTGACACTAATAACAACTTCCTCTCCTGTTGAGGAAAAGTCTCCCACTGTAACCAACGATAGTCCTATATTAGTACATCCTTAATCAGAATGATCAGAATAAAAGTCACAACATGATCAAGAGTCACATCGCTGATATCGACAATACCAACGATTTCTTGACAGGCTTGGTGTAAGAAACTCAGAGCTCCTTCACTGCTACATGTCCCTTGATCCCAGGATTACTCAGCTGGTCTTTGTTGTGAGAGCCTGGGCTAAAGCCAAAGCCCTAACTGCTAGCAGACAGCTGTCAAACTATGCATTGACTCTGATGGTGCTGTACTTCCTGCAAATGCAACATCCACCAGTCATTCCTTCATTACAATGTAGATTTGATACCTGGATCAGAGAGGGACCACATTTGTGTGCCATGAAAGAGCCTAATTCAGAGGTTATTGACAACTGGAACTGTTCATTTTTCACAGTTGTTACTAAACTTTCTCCCTCACAGAATACCAAAAGTCTGAGTAAGTAAACTTTGTCTGATCTTTTGCCTATTTCAGTTGTATTCAGATGTTGTGCAGTAGTCAGTGTTTGGATCCAGTCAAAGTTAACTGGCGTCTTGTCAACTTAACTAGGTGGAGTTTTAACTAATATGTTGCCCTGATGTGAGAGACCAACTACTATGGACTTACAGTGACAGAATGAAACATGAAACTATTTTTTTTTCATTCTTAGATAGTTTCATATGATAAATTATTATCTTACAGCTCTTCAAAATTTATTATCAGTTGAAAATTGATACTCTGGCAATAGCCAGCAGTGTTGACAGAGATAACATATTGGTGACGGTGCCAGAGGAATCTTTTATGAGAAAACTTTGTGATGATATACTTATCTAATGATGCCTTTTTTCTTTGATACTTAAACTTGAAAGTAACATATTTATGATAATGACTCTGTTTTGCTTGTTCAACAGTTCAGTTATTGGAAGAGTTCTTTTGCTTCTTTTCAACTGAATTTGACTTTGCTAATTGTGTGGTGAGCATAAGGACAGGCCAAAGGACAAGTATTGTGTCAGTCTTGAAAGAGTTAAAGGTTTCACAGTGTACAGAAACTAATGAAAATGGTTCAATGATCACATCTGATAGTGACCAAGAATGCTATAGACAGTTAACAAAGATTGAAGATAGCAAGGATGCTAGCAAAATTACAGAGGAAACCACTAAGCACCAGGATGCACTGCCAAATTTAGTCTTAGGATGTTCTCACAGTAGTCCAGGGACTGGGAAGCAATTAGAGTTTAAGATCTCCCCTTTGTGTGTTCAAGATCCCTTTGAGCTTGTACATAACTTGACACAGAACATTACCATGGCAACACTGAGAAACATCATTGAATTGATGAAGATTGCTCACAAGATTTGCCAGGATCTGAATAGCAGTGTTGACAATCCAAATCCCACTGGAAATAATCTCTTAAGCCTTTTTACAGTTTGTAAATCTTCTAAAAAGAAGAAACATTCTCAGTGCCATGATTTCTTCGTTAAGTATCAAAACAAAAGTTCTCAAGCACTGGACACAGGTTGTGTTGACAACCTGAGTACACCCCACGCAGTTTTTGTGTCTGTTCTAGAGACATTAGAAAGGGAGTATGGATTTCAGTGTAAAGTTAAAAGTTCTGCTAAGATGCCCTGCTCTATTGTGGAAGAATCTGGTGTGCTTAGCAAAACTCAGGGTTTCAAAACATCACTGGTGCCCCAGCTTTCTGGCCACATCTCTGCAGCAGGTTGCAGCAACACTAAAAATGAAGCAAGGATATCAGAGAAAGTAAACAAATTTAACAATGAGTTTTCAGCGATTTGCAAAGCCTTTGAAAATACGTGGACCCATTGTCGAAGAGAACGACGCAGGTCCCTTCAGCCTGAGAAACAAGGTAATGGGAACAACGATAGTTTAAGCAAAGATAAGTTATCTGATAGAAGATCAGGTCAATTGTTAGAAGGATGTAACAATCAGGTTGAGGAGTTTGCAAATGCTCCTGCCACTGCCCATCCACTTCTCAGTTTTGAATTGAATGTAAGAAGTTTCCCTCAAAAGGAGGTGAAAAATGGTTGTACTGTCCTCATGGAACATGTTGAAAGTAAAGAATCTCAGCTATTTGGAAACTTCTTTTCTGCTTTCAAGAAGTATTTCTTGAGTTTAGTAACAAAGTAAAGGGTTTGTTAGCAAGCAGAGCACTATACAGATATATGTACCAATTAACTGTAAACTTTATACAAAATAATTATTTATAACTTAAAAAAAATTATTTTTACAAGTAGATAAATGTTCCGCCACTCTTAAAAACTTGTAAAAACTTCCGTTCTTTTTCTGCAGTACTATACGCAAGATATTCACTCAAGAACTGTTTTCACGAATTCCCTGTGATTGTGGGTTAAAACTAAGCCACAATATTATGCAACGGGGATGTTGATAACTCAGTTATCAGTCAAATCTTTATGTAATAACATGGAAGATACATTTTGATATTTCAATAGATAATTATTAAAAGTGGGGAGAATGATTTGAAAGTTGCACTAGTCTGTTGAAATTCAACGTGGGAATGATAAGTTTTTTGAAAGTTTTCAAACTGAAGTATTTAAGGCCCTTGCTCAACCAATCAGCTTTGCATGCTTTTCTTTTGATTGTTGAGCTTGGTCTTTAAAGCTACAGTATATTCTTTTATTACATCCATTTTGAAATCACTGGTGGTCCCTGTAATCTGATTGGCTCTAATTGGTGCCATTTATTCACGAATCACATCATTTTTTGCTCTAAATCACATCATTTTATGCTTGACTGAGTTTTTGACACTTGACGTCAGTCTTTCTGTTTTGCATACAAAATAAAATGTAAAAGGGTTTCCGGTTCCCCTTATTATTTAAAAACCGGCTCAGTACTGCATCAGTAAAATATTTGAATTGACCAAGTCCTGTATTTGGGCGATTTCGAAATGGATGTAGTAACGTGGTAATTGAACCTTGTATCGTGCAATTTTGGTCTAAAATCATACTTGTGATTTCAAATTGAACTCGCGCTGCAGGCTTGTTCAATTTTGAAATCAGGCATATGATTTCAGCCCAAACTGCACTCCACTCAGTTCAATTACCATTATAAACAACATGACTAAAACTTCTGTAGTGACAATATTTGGGTCTACAGTACACCCTTCAATGCAATAGTCAAATTTTGGCAAAATGGTTTAGTTAAGAGAAAAAAGGCTGATAGTTTCTAAAGAAACTGTTTGGGGCTGCGTCGGTGGGAGTAACGAAATAATTTGGATATATCAACAAAGTTGAAATGGTAAATTGGCCACTGTAACGATTACAAAAGCTGACGTTTCGAGCGTTAGCCCTTCGTCGGAGCTAACGCTCGAAACATCAGCTTTTGTAATCGTTACCGTGGCCAATTTACCATTTCAACTTTGTTGATATATCCAAATGATTTAGTTAAGAGAAGATTGACAGTGCTCAACACTAACTTTTTAACTTAATAGCCCAAAGGATAGTGACCACTTAGAAGTTACCACAATTTCAGTTTGTTTACTAGCTAAACTGTCTGTGGAAATCAAAAACCACATGCCAAAACTGAATTTCTACTATTCTGCAGATAGTTTGCTACTGTTAGTGTTGAGCCCTGATTGACTTAGCTCAATAGATCTTGTTAGTGAACAATGCCTACTTTTCCTCGGTTATCTAGTGAAAGCTAATGGCAAATCTCATAAAGGCTTCCAGGGTTTCTGCTTCTTCTGACACCCACATAACAATTTTAAGTCCACCCATCAATGAAAACCACTTACAAACAGAAGATATAAAGTGTCACACAAAGTTTAAATTAATGCTTCCAAATACTGGTTTATTCAAGTGAAAATACATTTAGATATCAATTATAAACCCTTTGAACTAATGCCGTAAGGAAAAAGATGTTCTCATTTCATACTTAACATATTTCAAGAACATCTTAACATTGAGTGCAAAATTTGGTCTTTATACCATCTTAGACAAAACTATGCAAGTTCAACATTGTCATCATTTAACAAACTTTCAGCCATTCACAATGAATGATACAGTTGTAGATAACTCTTTGAGCATACCAGTCTGTAGAGCATTTTGCTCACAATGGTTGTCCTTTTGCAGCGGGTTAACTATGGATGCACTTTAAAATTTCATGTCCATTACTTTAACATGTCAAATGGACTTTCTTCCAAAGATGAATAAGACAGGCAACCTGCTAATTAATAGAAATGGCCTTTTAAACAAGCTTTCCTCGCAAAAATTGTAATAAATACACAAACCTCTTGCACTAACTTGGAAATAACTAGCAAAACTTACTTTTTATGGTATAATTTCAATTTACATACAATATCTAACAAATTATGAATAATTAGCATAAATTTGACACTAATCTGGTGAATAATAAATGAGCGAATAAATATATTTCAGCATGTGGATTTTACACAAATTTCAATTTGATTTTCTAACTATCCTTTTTAATAACTCCAATATACTTATTAGTTCACTTTCATCCTTTCTAACAATCCCTGAAAATTTCTGCTTCAATTGAAGGCCTCATAACAAAGTATACATAAAAACAACTTGAAATTGTGACAAATTCAATATTATTGCAAACCAACCAATCCTCTGTGTAAACTGGGTGGTTTACAATGTTCATCATATGTTCTGGTTACCGACTCAGTTCAACTTCTTACAGAACAGATATAATTTTACACTTAAATTTGATTAAAATCTATTATTACATAGCTAAAACTTCCAAGCAAGTCCTAGCCAAATATAAATAATTTTTTATCAGAGTACCTGTAATTAAATGTGAATATACCTGCAAGTTTACTTTGGTGCAAATACTCAGGCACAACCCTACCAAGGGAATCTAACCTTTTAAAAAGTGAAGCAACATATAATCAAGTCCATGGTCCAACCAATCCATGATCTAACAGTGAAGCAATATATAATCAAGTCCATGAACTAACTAGTCCATGATCTAACAGTTCGGCGCTCTAACCAATTGAGCTAACCGCCTCCCGGTTAGCTCAATTGGTTAGAGCGCCGGACTGTTGTGCAGGAGAATAAAGGCTGATAGTTTCTAAAGAAACTGTTTGGGGCTGCGTCGGTGGGAGTAACGAAATAATTTGGATATATCAACAAAGTTGAAATGGTAAATTGGCCACCGTAATGATTACAAAAGCTGACGTTTCGAGCGTTAGCCCTTCGTCGGAGCGAGTGCAGGAGGTTGAGAGTTTGAGCCCCGGCCGGACCAACACTCAAGGTCTTAAAATAACTGAGGAGAATGTGCTACCTTTCTATAATATCATGAAATGGATGGACATTCTAGTCTTCTCGGATAAGGACGAATAAACCGTAGGTCCCGTCTCCTGCATCTATTGGTTAGTTAATTAAGTTAGACAGGGGACGTTAAAGAACCCACTTACGAGATTACTGTGATGTGGTCTGGCCTGCTTACTGGGAATTGCTGGGAGGGGGCATCTTCAACTTCCTTTGATTCGATGTAAACTGCTACAAGCAGTCTGGTAAAGTCCCCTGCACAGTGTTGTAAGAATGGCCCTGAAAAGCCCCATGGGGAGTGGTCATCTAACCCATCCATCCATCCATCCATCCATAACTAAACTTTTAAAGCTCCTCTCAATAGTGAACAATAACTTTCAAAGCTATTCCTTTAGATTTACTGTTTTTTCCATGAAGAATGTTTTCTATCAACCTGTAAGGTGATTTAGGAAATTTTTTGCATTATGTTCTAAGAAAATGGTCCTCTAGGAAGTACCCCTACTCCAACACCTCCTTGATGCATGCCCATGGATGCCACAGGGGTCCACCTGTTGCTCAGTACATCAAAGCACTCCACAGTATTAAGGTTTGACAAGCCATCGTAGCCTCCAATCGCATACAACCTTCCACCTAGAGTTACCACAGCTACCCTACTGCGACGAGTATTCATGGGGGCCACAAAGGTCCACTGTCCAGTCTCTGGGTCAAAACACTCTACAGTGTTGAGAAAGCAACTGCCATCATACCCTCCACACACATAGATGCGACCATTTAAGGTGGCAACACCAACTCTACATCTTCGAACACTCATCGGTGGACTTTGCACCCATGTGTTAGTTTGTGGGTTGTACACTTCTACGGTGTTAAATATTGATAAGCCGTTGTGTCCGCCAATGGCAAAAATCTTTCCATTCAACTCTGTGACACCAGCAGCACTACGGAGCGTCCCCATTGGGGCTACAAACTTCCAGCTGTTGGCAGCTGGAGAATAGCACTCTACAGTACTTAGCGAGATGTGGCCATCATACCCACCTACAACATAAATCCTTCCGCTAACCACCACTGCACCAAGAGCACTGCGGCGTGTATTCATGGGAGCAACTGCCTTCCATGTTTGAAACTGTGGATTAAAGCATTCCACCGTGCTTAGTCGCTTGTGCCCATCAAATCCACCTAGGGCATACAATTTATTATCAAGGACAGCTACACCAACACGGGTACGCAACGTACTCATAGGCAGGCCAGGCAGCCATTGTCCGGTCAAAGTATCATACGTTTCCACAGTGCTAAGGGCCTCCCCAGAGGAGGTAAGGCCGCCAATGGCATAAATCAAACCCGCAGCTTCACTGCATCGCCTTGGTTTCGTGCGGATTGATTGAAGCTTGCATCTCCGCTCAGGCATAAGAAGGTAGTCCTTTGCTTCGTCTACCAGGTCACGGCATGCTAAATTGCTTTTTATCAGCTCGTCGCTGGAGACTTTGTCGCATAGATACTGCGGGCTAATCAAAGGCAGTCTCACGTTCTTGAGCAATTCTGGAAGGAAATCTTTGCGCTCGTCTTCTTCTCTTCTCACCCAAGCTGAAATTGCTTCGAAAACTTCTTCTTCTGTGCGGACATTTAATTCTTCCCGCGAGATCATCTCCACAACCGCTTCGGGGGCCAGGCTCAAAAATTCTTCACTCCTCGCAACCTCAGAGAAGTTTTTCACAGCAAAAACATCGGCTGCTTCCACAAGATCTACACACGAATAGGTATCAGCGAAAGACCGGATGCCGAGGCAATTCGTCGGATGAAGAACGCGGTGTAGAAACTCAACGCACGCTTGCTTTACACTCGTCAACTGCAGCAAATTAGAGGCACAGAGTAGATTCTGCACATTATCTACGTTAATTTCAATCCTTCCCGTGTAGCAGAAGTTCACCAGATCCTCTAAAGCTGAAAATTCCACGCCGAACAAGATGACTTCATCTTGTCGACTTTCCTTCATGTCTCCAGTAAACATGGCATTGAAATAGCTACTCGCAGCAGCTAAAACCACACGATGAGACTTCAAATGGAAATCACCTACCCCAAGTTGAATATCGCAGAGCTTTCCATCTTTCCTAAGGCTGTGCAGCCCTGAGAAAACTTGGGAAGAAAATTCAGGAACACAGAAAAGTAAGCTCTCCTCTGACGCCATTTTCCCGTTATCGCACTGCCAGTCACGTGATCTCTTACAGGTGTTGTTATGACAAAGACGCTACGGCTTCCCCGATGCCAATCAAACCAGATTGACAATTGTCATCTCTAAGGCAATTTTCCTGCATTAATTAAATCTTGTGATTATTTTCGGACTTGTCACGAAAGAGGGGCGTTCATTTCTTAAAGCCTAAAAGAAAAAAAATTATTTTCCCACTGTGTCTTTCTTTCCCTTTTCGTTGGATGCACAATAACAAAATCAAATTGATTGGGTTTTGGATACTACTACCAAATCTCATTTTCCTTGCTTGTTTCTTATTAATGTTTAATCTAACAAACTGTTTTTGCTGATAATTTGTAACATATGCTTATCACTATGTTTCATTCGTGCAAAAATAGAAATGCTTCTGACTGGTTTCTGTCATCAATTATCTAAGTTGGCAATTACCAATGGATTTAACAAGAAAACAACCAGTTCCAAATGGCATCAACTCCTTTTGATACAGGTTAATACTGATTAATTTAAAAGCTGTTAACAAACCTTAAAAAATAGGAATTTTCAAAACTTGTCTTAAATAGGAATGTTGTTTCACAAATTTAGGGGAACATATGGGAATGTTCCAAAAATTTGTTTTGGGTTTTTGCTCCAACAACAGTCCTTATCTAAAGAATTTAAACCAAATGTTCTGGAATGCTTCTGTTAAGAAAGTGAGTTTGGCACACATAGGCGTTGTAAGCATTTTGTGTTGGGTAGTAAAATAATAAAAAAGAGGAGTAAAAAGTTACCACAGGATGAAGCAAGACACCCTCTGGATGGCATATAAGGCTTGATGTAATATAAAGATTTAGCCAAGCCTAAAAGCGGAGCTCCCAAGTTCGTAATATTAATGATAACATAAAAGATGTGCATTTGCCAAGACTTGCCTGAGACACCCCTCCCTTCGTTTTGATAGTCTCCCCTACCCTACCCGTGCAATCTAAAGGCACGTACGTATGTATGTACGCTCGGTCAGTCATGTGACAACCAAATGAAAAGAGGTTGACCATATTCCATAGGTATGGGGCTCTGCCCCACATGCGCAAAGCGTGCGTGAGAGCCCTGCTATGAATTAAAAGAAATCTCTAAATTAAAGTACTTGCATTTTAATATGCCTTCCTCCCACACTATCACAGCCACAAGCAAAACTACTCGACCCTTAGAAAAGATTTACAAATAAAATTGAATCAAGAATTCTTAAGCTCTAGAGGGATATTTAACCCTTTAACTGCCACAAGTGACCAAGGCAGAATTTCTCTTTAAAATATCAATACAATATCAAGCAAACAAGTGATGAGAATAAAGGAAAATATCAATCAGGGGATTTGAGGTTGATGCAATACAAAATTATCCAAACTAATATCACAAGAAGGTGTAGTCTGATCGTCCCGGTGAGTGTAGTCCTGAGAAGGACTGTTGTCGGTGGCAGTGACTGACGTTTCGACAACCTGTGCGGAAGTCATCATCAGAGTCAAGTGAATGATTGTTGTCAGTAGAATGTTCTTATAATAAGAATTTCTTATAATAAGTTCTTATAATAAGAATTTCTTATAATAAGAATTAATTATCTTATAATAAGAATTTCTTATAATAAGTTCTTATAATAAGAACATTCTACTGACAACAATCATTCACTTGACTCTGATGATGACTTCCGCAAAGGTTGTCGAAACGTCAGTCACTGCCACCGACAACAGTCCTTCTCAGGACTACACTCACCCGGACGATCAGACTACACCTTCACATGTTACCCAAAGGTTCAAACCATTTACTGTAATATCATGAGAACTGACGGCAGAAAGTAAGGAGAATCAATATTGAGATTGTGGGAGTGAAAGGAGTAATATAATTTGTCATTTTTTTTACTTTCACTTGATTGAATATATGGTTCATGTAATTTCGATCTGTTGTTCAGGTAGGTTGAAAAATAAAGTACTGTTATCAAGTAATCACAACCCTTGAAAACTGGCAAAATTTAATTCCTAATTTGAATTCATTTTCATTTTCAGAGAAGAAATGATAAAACTATATAAGATTAACAATGTTACACATAAAGTTTCTTTTTATGCAAAGTTCACCTTCAAAACCATAACAAAATTCTCAAATGTGATGGCTATCAAACCTATTTGAACACTAATAGGAAAATGTACACATCATGCTTGTAATTAGATGGTGTAATAAGACAAGGTAATTTGGTTTTATCAACTAAGTTGAAATTGTAAATTAGCCACTAAGAGTTTAAAAAAAAGCTGACGTGTTGAGCATAAGCGCTTCGTCAGAGCCCTTCATCATTTGCTCTGACGAAGGGCTAATGCTCAAAATGTCAGCTTCTTTATGGAGGCCAATTTACAACTTCAGCTTAGTTGATCAAACCAAATTACCTTGTTATCCCCACCAATGCAGCACCACCATTTCTTTGGAAACTTACCCCATTTATTCAGCATAATAAGACAGCTAAATTGGGGGCAGTTAACTTGTCATACCAGTGTATGTGGACAGTGCACATCCTATGCACTTAACAGAGTTGACTGTTGCTTTTTAAAAAAAATGGATCACTGATGTCTGGTCTCTTTCTCAAAATTTGTCATACCTTTCATTATAATTGGTAACAGAACTTCACGTCATCCAATTTTGTCTGTAATCAAACTCGTGATAAACAAATCGGACTCCCGCTTAGTTGTTGTCTGATGTTGTTTATCACTTACATGATTACAGACTGAATTGAACACCACTCAGTCCTATTACCATATAAATATAATTCAAAAGTCTTTAAGTATTACAGCTTGTTTCATCCTCCTGTTTTGATTTGACTTCAGATGAAGATTTGGACCTTCTTTTCCTTCCTTGCTGAAACTTTAATTTACGTTCTTGCAGTTTTTTAATTCTCTTTTCTCCTTTGCCTCCTCCTCCACATGTTACTTCTACATTTATCTTTCTTCCTGCTAGAACACTGTGATGTAAGTTCAGTGCTTTCTGCAAAGGAATAATGGAAAATTTAGCTGTTAATTATCAGGTATTGATACTTGTTAAGGGTGAAATATAGGGCAAGGCTTGGAGTATGTTAAGCTCAATTTCTTAATAGTTCAAGAAAAAAAAAGAGATTGTTAAAAGTTTCATTAAGATTTTGAGATCAAGGGAGAAACCATACAAAATGATAAATTTTGTCTAGGCCATCTTCATCATTAGAGAAAAACTTGAGACTTTCTTTTTTTCCTGGTTCCAAAAAATCCAATTATAATTATTCTAAGAGACACACAGAAAAGTTATCATAGTTCACTATGCAGTGTAACAAATAAATATGTGTGAACCTTGTTAATATTTATAGAATGTCATTGTGTTACAAGGAAAAAGCTAATAAGACACGAGGATAGCTATGGCAGATAATTTGTACTTTTGAAATTTTCTCTCATGTTTCCCTTAAACTTTAAATTAGTCAGGTCCCAGTTTTAATTTCAGAATGAAATTCCAGTGTTTGTGGTTTTCTGAGTTTCACAATCACTGCAATACATTAAAAACACATCAAACAGTGAAAGCAATTAGTAAGTAAGTAAGTAAAGACTTAATTTAAAGAGGGTAGCACTAAAATAGTATAAAAATACTTACAAACCTGTGGCCCTCTAAAATTATGTACAATACGGATGTTAAAAACTATGGCATAACTATGAGATAATATAACAAATAAAATACAAGAGATAAGAGATAAAATCAGTTTATAGTACAAAAGTATAACTAAATCACAGAATAAAATGATTTAAAAGCTGCTGTTCTTCAAAAAATTTTTTCTAAAGAGAGTTCCTAAAAGAACTTAGCAATGCTAATTTCTGCATGGATAGTGGTAAGCAGTTCCAGGCTTGACAGGCAGTCACAGTAAATGTTCTTCCTCCTTCAGTCATATGCTGCCCATTATAGGAATGCTTTTCTGTAGATTTTTGCTTATTCATCAGTACTACCGTACTAACAGCTTTCATCAGTACTACAGTACTAACAGTACTAAACCTCTCGCGAGCAAGCATGAATACCTACGTACTAGTGTACTAGCGTACTAACTACAGCTCTCGAGCTAGCAAGCATGAATACCTACGTACTAGCGTACTAACTACAACTCTTGAACAAGCAGGAATACCTACTTACTAGCGTACTAACTACAGCTTTCGAGTGAGCAAGCTTGAATACCTACGTACTAGTGTACTAACTACAACTCTCGAACGAGCAGGAATACCTACGTACTAGCGCATTAAGTAAACCTCTCGAGCAAGCATAAATACCTACGTACTAGCGTACTAACTAAACCTCTTGAGCGAGCAGGAATACCTACGTACTAGCGTACTAACTACAGCTCTCGAGCGAGCAAGCATGAATACCTATGTACTAGCGTACTAGCGTACTAACTACAACTCTCGAATGAGCAGGGATACCTATGTACTAGCGTTCTGGCGTACTAAGTAAACCTCTCGAGCAAGCATAAATACCTACGTACTAGCGTACTAACTAAACCTCTCGAGCAAGCAAGAATACCTACGTACTAGTGTACTAACTACAGCTCTCGAGCGAGCAAGCATGAATACCTACGTACTAGCGTACTAGCGTACTAACTACAACTCTCCAACGACTACGTACTAGCGTACTAACTACAACTCTCCAACGAGCAGGAATACCTACGTACTAGCGTACCTTAGTACGTTAGTACCTTAGTACTCGGTACGGACAACTCATCACGGCTTGTTCTGAATTTGCTTGGTATGTTAGTACGTTAGTACCTTAGTACTCGGTACGGACAACTCATCACGGCTTGTTCTGAATTTGCTTGGTATGTTAGTACGTTAGTACCTTAGTACTCGGTACGGACAACTCATCACGGCTTGTTCTGAATTTGCTTAGTACGTTAGTACCTTAGTACTCAGTACGGGCAACTCATCATGGCTTTGGAAGGTTTATTACTCAGCCGTAAGACCTATTTGTTTTATCTTCTTTTTCAACCGATTATTTCCTAAATTTATAATTCCTTTGCATAGATGTAGATAAACAAATAAAAGAAAGATAGAATTTTTAGGTTTATAATGGGCAAGAACAGTAGAACTTAAACAAGTCGGATCGAATCAGCTTAATTTTAATAGTACGTTAATCATCCGTACTAAGCGAAAAACAAGAAAAAAAGAATCCTATTTTGGGCATGGTCTACCTTCAGTTTTACGTTTGATAACAGGGTGAGCAATATTGAAGTTGGCATACCTAGTCTGTCCTGAGTGTCACTAGCATGACAGGACGGAAAACGCGTGCACTGTAAGAACCCTCTTGTTGTCCCACACTAAGCCTTAGAAAAGTTTTCTTAGGCTTTGTATGGGACAACAGGAGGTATTTACAGTGCGTGCATTTTCTGTCCTGTCATGAAGCTTAAGTAAACTTTTAAGATAGGTAGGTACATGCTCCTGTACACGCTCACCCAGTAACTAGCCTTGTCACCAAACTCAATAAATCCGCAGCCCTTTGACTCTCCAGTCCTCTTGGTCATGAGTCAAAATTCTTTAATGTTATCTATTGATAAACAGGCAGAACAACCCTTTATTATCACCAATACTAACATGCTTCTGTCTACTGTAATGAAAATGTTTTATTGTTTCACCCTGAGTCCTCTTTGAAGAAAATTGCTTTTCATCAATTTCTTCAAATTAATTTCCTACTAATCATAGGCAAAATAGAAAATTTGTTAATTTGCATATCTCAATTAATTGAACAGGATTAAGAGTTTTTTTAATCTTGGACATACCTCAACTTTTTATTTCTGGTATCAAACTATCCATTTTAAATCAAAATATTTCACACTACACAAGGCAGCTGATCAAGTTAAAAATTATACCATCAAAAGTTAAAAAAAAAATCACTACTTTGTCACAAAACAGTGAGTTCCATTTGGGTCTGTAGCCAAATAAGTATCATAAAAATACCTGTGCATCTAAAATGATTCCTCACTTGTTCCTCTTTCACTGAAAAGGGTAGGTTTCCTTTTGAGATATTTGAGAAATGAAAAAAATATATGATTATTAATCATGTCCAAGTCATGAATACATTTTTCAGGAAAGAGTTAAAATTTAATATGTTATGGCTTTTTCTATTAGTAGCTGATGAGAGGATACTCACAGCAACAAAAAGCAAAATTATTACTTGCACAAACTTATTCACACTGAAATTATTGTCACAAGATGTAACTACATGTACTATGCACTCAGAGGTGTAAAATGCTTGTTAAATTGTTTGACAAAAAATAAAAAATTACAGCACATAACATTATGGAAAGATTATAAATAGCATGCTTGTAGCTTACTTAAATGATAGCTTCAATACACCTACCAATAAAAAGTATGTATCTTTTGTTCCTGTCTTTGCTGTCAAGTTTGTTGATAGCTTGTTTGTTTTCTTCTTCAGATGTTTCAGAAGTTTGTTTCTTTTCCTCACAGGTCTTAGATGGCTTATCTGTTTTGTCTAAACGATAAAGTTATGATTAAAGTTAAGAGTAAAAACAAGTAGAGATGAAAATACTCATGAGAATAGAAAAAGTTATATTTTCACACAATTGCAAGGCTGTGCTCTAGCAGTGCCCGGTGGCCCCTGGTGCCCTACTTTTGCTCTTGGGCGACTCAGAAATTTTAGTTTTTTCATACAAATCATATGCTGGGCACCCTGGATTTCACAGTTTCAGAGCACTGGGCTCCATTCAATTTTCCTTAGAGCACAGCCTTGAATTGTCTTATGTGAACCACAACATACCGGTAACTGGAGAGAAACATTATAAAATTGCTATTACCGCAATGATCATTGCAGCAATGTGTAATATGGCAAGGAAGTTGTGGACCTATGGTGATGACAATGTTAACATCACCTTTGTACCTTACAGAGATGAAGTCCTTTAATCTCCCAGGCCTGCATTACAGGCAGATGTGAAAATTGTTTAACAAAATTTGATAATGATCCACAAGAAAGCTATCAACGGTAAACAGATGTAATCCCAGTTTTGATTCTTCTATAACTTAAGTTCAATGGCAATGTGGAAGCTGCAGTAACATAATGCTGGTTCTAAAAACGACAAAGTAAAAGGGGTAATGCGAAAAAGAAAACAAGGCCTTACCTCGCGTACCAGATTTCTTCAGAACTTTTCCTTCCTTTGGTCTATGTTTGGCCCACCAACTGACAAATGAAAACAACTGTATTAGAATATACAAACGTTACCAGATTAAAATACCTTTATTCTCTGGCTCACTGTATGGTAATGCGTATCCTTTTAATTTCGTATCATTGATATCACAATTACTATTATTCCATTCTTTGCCCCAAATTATATTCTCCTGATACTTCTTCGGACAACGCAAGGTAACAATTTACTGTGCTGTAGAGCGAATTAAAAGCACTTACTCGTGTCGTTTTCTTTTTCTCGATGTTAGTGGCTTTGGTTCATCCATGTGATTTCTTCTCAAAAGAAAAAATGCGAATAAAAATTCTACACTACTATAAATTTAAGCAGAAAGCAAAGGATACCACGCATAAAGATAAGATAGCGTGGTAGACTCCGCCATGTTGGACGCGAGAACTGGGGCCAAGTATACAACCATAACTTTCACGCAAGGCCCTAAGGGAAAATTAAAATCAAGAGAGTGAGAGAGATTTGAAACAAGTTAGAAATGGATCGCGAATTTGACGTTATAGGACAATACCGTGCGATTACTGCGAAACTAAAGAGACGTTTTCTGAAAAAACCTAATGTTTCTGAGGCAAGTGGTCAGTTTGGTGCCCTTGCCAAAGAGTTGAAACGACAAGATTGTCCACAATACGCTGGTTTCTGTAGTCTTGCAAAGGCGAGGTGTGAAAATACGCTGTCTAATGCAACGGGAGAAGTTGAGGCGCTAACTGAAGCTGCACGGTTGTTTTTAGAAGCAGAGAAAAATTCCGTGGAGTTAAGATGTCCGGCGTTCGAGGAACACTTGACTGAAGCCATACATCTCTTCAACCAGGCCATTAAAACTCACTGTGCCCAGGGTAACTCGGCGTTAGGGGCTTGTTTGTGCTTAGAAATAGGGGACGCCTTGAGACATATGAACCGGCCCCATGAAGCTATGGTCCATTATCAACATGCCGCTGAGTTACAACATCAGAATCCCATTGATGCCCTGCAGTCAATGACTTTGGTAGCCTCATGTAAAATTGATACAGGTAAGTTTTAAAATTACAGTGAGGGGGATTGGATATCTTGTGGGACAATAACATGTTTTTTCCCCAAAGCCTATGACCCAAAGAACCAGGTAGAGCATGTGGGAACATATGCTTGTTCAATAATTTGTTAATATATTACTGAAAATGGTTATCAGAAAAAAGGTTAACAGTTGCCCTCATTTCGTGAAAGAAAAAAAAAAAAAAGAAAATCTAAGTATGCAGTAAAAAATTTACCATCGGCTACACAAGTTACTACTTTGAAAAGTTAGCATGAATCTTAATTCATTTTCATTATTTGCACAAATCAGGTGATTTTGATGGTGCTTTGTCTGTATTGACTGAAATGGCTTACCATGCAGAAGAAAGAGGAAGTATGAGCCAACAGGGAAAGTTAAAAGGACCATACCAAGAGATTTTAGCCCACTGCGAGATTGGACGCATTCTTCTGCTAATGCTACTTCAACCAACACCACAGCAAATTCCTCCTCAGCATGCTCAGATACTTGAGAAGTATTTGGATGAATTAGATTCTACTGAAAACCCTGTGGTTTACATGAATAAAGATCTTCTCCTTTTGCTTCAGTCGGTAGTGATGGTATGTCAGTCACATGATGTAGATGCTCTTAAAGAGCTGGAGAAAGAACTATGGGCATACCTCGACCCTGAGCAACAGCATCTCCTTTATCTCATCACTTTAAAAATGTCAAAGAAAGGAGGATGAAAGCAATGTGGCGCTGCTGTCAAATACAGTATCACTAGGTTTTTCTTGTTACAAATGACAAAGTATGAAGTTGCAATTGCTTGGATGGCAATGATTAATTTAAAAAACTGCAAATGTCATATGAATAGACACAGATTTTCCAAACACAGGCCATAAGAAAGTGGAAGGGTTAATCAATTTTAATCTGCATAGAGAAATGTCAAACAATTCTTATAAGCTGTTGACCACATTATAGGTTTATTGTTGTAATAACCCACCCAGGATGTTGGGAGAACATGAGAACATTTGTCAATCATGAGCCAGAGGCAAATTGATGTGCAAATTTTTCAAATTACAATTTGCAAAGGATGTACCAGTACTGGTGCAATAAAGGAAAGGATTATGACCAATCAGGACACTTGAAGTATCTCAGTTATTTCATAATGTCTCCTCAGACATCAATAACTACATGTACATGGAATTCCTTGCTGTCCTGACATGTATCAAAACAAGTTAGAGAAACAATTCTTTGTGTGGCTGGTTCTTTAAAATGTTGCACATTGCAGTACTGCTTAAGTAGTGTTCATTACTGCAGAGATTGCTTTCATATTCAGGAATATAACTTTTGACATGCGATTTTGTCTCTTTGGTTGCTTGGAGGTGAATAGTCCTTGCCACTCGCTTCTGAATTAGCCAATCAGCACACATCAAAGTACTATTGTATGGTATATACTAACATTGGATATTCCCCAGTTTTAGCTAGAGCATATTCAGTCACATGACACATTCAGACCAATTGCTTTCAAGCAAAAAAAATTTATGGATTATCATGCCAAATGCCAGGTGATGAATATAACAAAATGGGGTAACACTGTGAATAGTTTAGGAGGATAGAGGTTAATAAGTTACAACCAAGAGACTCACTCCATCAAATGCACTACTCTTTAATAACAAGCAACACATTTATTTATGACATGGACTGCATTTTTAACAACTGGTAAAAGCAGTGGACACATGTCTTACTGAGGAGCAAAATCACACCAGCATAAAACGAGAACATGCCACTACAAGTGGAAAAGGTTAGCACCACAGGAACTATTTAAATTCTCTATACAGTCAAACTAAATTGTTCTCAGCTCTCCAAGTCTGGTAGGTCTGAAATATAAAAGGGTCAGCATTAGGATAAGTTCCTCATAACCACTTCTTTGTGCATATACAGTTGAACCACTCTTGAGTCATCACTCTCTTCCCTTGCCTTTTTTTTTTTTAGTACCCACATCACCTTTTACTTAACAATCTACGTTTACTGCAAGGATAAATTTCTTCTTGGTAGCTTATGGGAGTGAAAGGTTAGGTTTGTACCCAAGCTGACTGGACCAACCAGCTAGAGGTTATCCTATTTTCAGTAGCTTGAGGTGACCAGGGGTATTAGCACTGCCCTGGATGGATGGCAATCCATCCCAAGGGTATCCCCCTCTTCCCTCCTTATATTCCATCAGGCCTCCCCTCACAATTTGCCAGTACCCATTTAGACCTCTGGTGGAGAGAGGTATGATGAAAGTAAAGTCTTTTGTCCAATAACACAACACAATGACCTAGAATTCTTGACCCAGAGTTTGGTAAACCAACCATTAGATGGGCCATTGCATCTCCCACCTTGAGGGTGAAAAGTTAAGGAATTTCTTCTTAGCAACAGATAATGCCATGTGAAAATGCTACGAAGAAGGGACAACAATCTCACCTTCATCATCACTGTCTTCTGACACATCTGCATCTCCTGGATCAAAGCTCTAAAAGACAAAAAAAACATCAACCTGTGTAAATAATTAAATGAGTATGAAGCAGTGTATTCGAACAACAACAAACATATGAAACATATGAGCATTTAAGCAGTGTATTATTAGGTGCTGCATGGGACAATATTGTGTGCCCGAAAAATAAAATGCAAAAGTTAAGTATATATGGGATGGATCAAATAAATATATAAATAGAATATATGTGCAACATATATATGGCATGGACCAAGTCAACATATGGTACTGAATAAATACATATATGACATGATCACATGTGCTGATTTCTGTATAAGTATTCTGTCAAGCAAACTCATTTCGACTGTGAATCTATATATATATATATATATATCGGCCATAGGACAAAAGTACGAAAAATATATACGGCTATTGTGCCCATTATCGCTTTGGCCAGTGGAGTTATTTTGGAAAGTGGGAAAGACGTTGATGTTTTCAGAGTGAAGATTTCTACGAGCTTGACAAAAAAGGGATGGAATAGAGCTCTTGAAAAATTGTTCTAAATCATCAATCCTGTCACGGGCTGCCATGTTATTTTTTATCAATCTTCCGCTGACCAAATTGACAATAGGCACAATAACCATATATATTTTTCACACATTTGCCCCATATTTATATCGTAAATTATCTCTATAATTATATGCAAAGAATAAAAGTTGATACAAACATTCACAGCCAACATTTATTTTTTGGAAAAGAATATGGAAACCCGTGATAAAAATATGTGTCTGTATGAACCATGTGTATTTGGTCCATGCCATATATATTCTATTCATATCATATTTATTTGACCCATAGCATATATATTTAACTTTTGCACTTTATTTATTTGCCAATAATATTGTCCCATACAGCACATCATAGTGTATAGCTTTAAAATAGTCTTGAAGTCTTTTAGTTTGATTCACTGTACTCTTTGAATGGGTGCCAAAACATTTCAACTTGACCACTCCCCTTTATTACAATAATAAAAGAAAAACATTCTAAATCATTCTAACTTTACCTCTGCTCCCGCACCAGGTCCACCCATCTTGCTCATCATCTGCGAATTGAACCAAACATAAATATCGACTCTTTGAATTTGCAAACATAATGATATTATGTACCCTTCATTATATTATAAGTTGAATTGTGCATGCATTTTGACTGGTTCTTGAATATGATCTATTGGAAGACAGATGCATAGATGACTTCACCATTAACAGCATTTTGCATTTCTATCATGTAAAACAAAAGACTTTATTTTGCTATGGGTCGGTACAGAAGTAGAAAATCACAGATGACATCTAAATGTGGTGAGAAGATCTGTTTGGCAACACACTAGGCTCTGCCTCATGTCACTTTATGGTTCTTACCACATTTTGATGTCATCTGTACATACCTGCCAACCCCCTGGGTACAAAAATCTGGAGATGTCTAGAAATTTTTGCATAATAATTGTAATAATGTCATTCCTTTGAAACCTAAGGGAAGGGTGCCTAAGAATTCTTTTTGCAGGGAACCAAAATCCATGCTGGCCATCCTCAGTTTGTCCAATGTAAACCACAGGCGGCAACCTGAACCGTGCCAAATTTCTATCATGTATTGTGCAATTTGATTGGTTGATTTCTGATCAATTACCATACTCATTATATGTATATCAATTTGATTGCTCTGTTTTTACTTTTTCTGATCAAGAACAGCTCAAATAAGAGTACTAAATCCTTTTGGGCATCTCTAAAACAACTAAATTATTGAAAAAAAATTGAGAAAAGTAAAGGTAGGTATTTCCCAGGATATTTGGTGCTCTAACTGGGAGGCTGGGAGATTTGATGAAAAACTTGGAGACTCCTGCAAAAAAAATAAAAAACTGGGAGAGTTGGCAGGTATGTCTGTAATCTGTTGCTGAACAGACACACAACAACATGGAATCTATTTGTTAATTAGTGATCTACTTCGTACCAGCCGAGATCATAAACAAAATCCTTAGTGTGCAGCCAAACCACAAGGATTAGATTTTTTTATAATGGTAATGATGGACATATCCAAGCTCAAAAGAATTTGCAGAGGTATGTTTGGTCTGATTCCCTTGTAACTTACAGCTTCGAAATCATCATCCATTCCTCTATCTTCTTCCTCTGAGTCATCTTCATCTCTCCATTTGTTAAAATCAGTATGAAGAAAACTTGGCTGCAAGATCATCCAGAATACAGAAATTAAAAACTGCTTCCTGAGCCATCAGTTCTGATTTCATGCTGGAAAAGTGCTATAAGATTTAGTAATGGATGACGGTGAACATCAAGTTAACATAATGTTCAGCGGGGGAAAACAGGCCAATTCTCACAGGCAAATGTAATTCTATTGCTCTTACCAAATTTTCATATATTTGTTATCCTTAACTGAACTATTTGAAACTTACCTTCTTTTCATCTTTGAGAAGTTTTGGCCAATAGGGACCTTCCTCTTTTTTAGCGAGAGAAAAAAAGAGTTCCCTTGCAGTTATATGCTGTTTTGATTTCTGAAATAGAAGTCACAATAATGAAAAGCTACTTTCCATCAATTCAAAACATTTTTACCCAAATTAATGTCAGATATAACCCGAAAATCCTCCTTTGGACATAAAAATACCCTTGGGGTATTTACGTAGGAAAACTGTTCCAGGAAATATGTATCACTTACAGTCATAGAAAGGGTAAGAAACCTAATAACGCTTTGAATCCGTTGTGTAGGACCCTAGCTCACAAAATTTCAAGCCAGAGGCACACTTTGGAGTTTACCTCATGTGTCCATCACGCCCAAATTCTTGGAAACAGTGAAGTGACATGCCTTTATTATATTGGAGTAACAACTACATGTATAATCTTCTCTTACCTCCGGGTCAACCTCGCCGTAGAATTCTAGATTCAATGTATATGTCTTTTGATCGTTTCCTCCCTTGGAACTGTGGTTGCAGGATCAAAAGAGTTAGATTATTGTACCACTAATGTGCAAAAATACGAAAATTCTAGTTTGAAGCGATTTGCCAAGTTCACACGTCAAGATCACAAAATGCATCTTCATAAATTGCGCTAATTTTGAGATGGAGAATTTACAATAAGTTTTGCTTCAGCCGGGAGGAAATATTACGATCTGTCGAATACTTGACGAACAATTTAAACCACAAACAGATATAACTGTGAGAAGCTAACGCCTTACCTGAATTGTAAAGTATTGGATTTGAGGACTATGTCTGGGTTTTGACAATCGGCTAGTTCGATCGTTAGGAAGATTTTGTCTTTACGCTGCGCCCATTTCGTCGAAGGAGAAAGTGTCCTGAAGCATCAGAATCAAAAATTTTTTAACGTTTTCACCTACTAAAACAAAAATAGTTAGTAAAGCTATATTCTTACTTGACTTCTCCCATTTTCTTACGGTATATGCACTGAGCAACTCAACACGAACAACCTAGTTTTCTGCAGCATGCGGACTTACTGAAGTCACGCTCTCAATCCTTGTTACCAACCCCTCTCATTTGTTTCGGCAATTACCGATGATAATCGGAAAAATAACGCATTCTTCCGATTACTTCCGACCAGACAGATCCATTTGCCATTTTAACAAAACAAACTGTGTCTGGTTCATGAGTTACTACATTTTACCACGAAAATTGTTGTTGTCTTGTGCTTTTAACAATTGCTATAATTATGTTCATCGAGGAAAAACCTATTGCTTTTCCTTGAACTCGTATTTGAAGCATTTTATGTGCACAAGCTCTGAGGAATCACTGAAATTTGGTCCCAAAATGGCAACTTTGGAAACTCTACATATGGATAACTTGGCGCTGAGGTCTTTACCAATCGACAAAGAGCTTAAAAATTACGTGAGTCAGGTTCAGGGAGCATGCTTCTCTCGTGTTGAGCCAACTCCAGTGGAAAATCCTTCAACGGTGGCGTATTCTAGCAGTGCAATGTCTCTGTTGGATTTATCAAAGGATCAGTTGCGGCGAGATGACTTTGCAGAATATTTTGGTGGAAATAAGATATTACCTGGCGCGGAACCATCAGCTCATTGCTATTGCGGTCATCAATTCGGATATTTTTCTGGTCAGCTGGGAGATGGGGCGACTATGTAAGTTATAACAATAATCAGAATAATATGACCACAGGTATACTGCCCATAATGTAATTGGAAATTATGTGATGAAGTTTTTTCCAGGGGTACATGTAAGATGCCGGGGGCAGGGCGGGGGGGAACAGAATTGTCTTACGTTGTTAGATTTAGATGATCCGTTAATTATCGGTATTGTGACACTCTTTAATTAGGTACTCTGTACCTGTTGTGTTTCCTCATGTGGTTTTTTTGTCTCCGGCATGAAGAAATATATCGCACAAGACAACCTTTCCTAGAGATGAGAATTAAATTTTATTTTCTGCGTCCTAACCGCTTTCTTGATGCTTAAATACATATCAAGCTTTGTAGAGAAAAGAAGAAATTCTTTCACATTTCCAGAAATTAAAGACAGATCAACCTTGGGTTGATATATGAAGGCCTTGACTTGATTATATGAGATAGTGAGGGAACATCTTTAGCATTAACAAGGCTTATAATCTAATTACCCAATACAAGGGTAGGATSAWGKWSCAKRAAWAAKAWKKWAKWAWWRAMRARA